CACATGGGATTGGAGCCACTCCTGTTGCCTTCTGAGGCCTCCTGCTCCTGGGGCCTCTCGGGGCCTCCTGTTGCCTTCCGAGGCCTCCTGGCGCTTCCTGTTGCCTCCTGGGGCCTCCTGTGGTTTCCTGAGGCCTTCTGGAGCTTCCTGGGGCCTCCTGGAGCCTCTTGGGACATCATGTGGCCTCTTGAGTCTTTCTGTGGCCTCCTGATGCCTCCTGGGACCTCATGTGGTCTCCTGGGGCCTCCTGGAGCCTGTTGGAGCCTCCTGTGGCATCCTGAGAAGAATCTGCGCCCACGAGCCTGGCCACCAAAACAAGCAAACCGATCGAGACATCCTCAAAATCTGGCCCACCTGGGGGGTGAAAATGAGCGCCTCGCTCGAGACATCCTCCAAATCTGCTCCGAAAGCGAAGGATGTTGGGCCCAGAAACAAGCAAACCGCCTGAGACATCCCCACAAAATGGCTGCGAACGAGCCCGTGCAACCACCCCTGGCGGCTCCCCTTCGGGGTGCTGAAACCAGCGCCTCGCCTGAGACATCCTCACAATCTGCTCTCCAAGCGAAGGATGTTGAGCCCAGAAACAGGCAAACCGCCTGAGACATCCCCACAAAATGGCCGCGAACGAGCCCGTGCAACCACCCCTGGGGGCTCCCCTTAGGGGTGCTGAAACCAGCGCCCTGCCTGAGACATCCTCACAATCTGCTCTCCAAGCGAAGGATGTTGAGCCCAGAAACAGGCAAAACGCCTGAGACATCCCCACAAAGTGGCCGCGAACGAGCCCGTGCAACCACCCCTGGCGGCTCCCCTTAGGGGTGCTGAAACCAGCGCCCCGCTTGAGACGTCCTCCAAATCTGATGTGTGTTGAGTAAGTCTGTGTATGAGTAAGTCTGTGTATGAGTAAGTCTGGGTATGAGTAGGTCTGTGTATGAGAAAGTCTGTGTATGAGTACGTCTGGGGATGAGTAAGTCTGAGTATGAGTAATACTGTGTATGAGTAAGTCTGGTATGAGTAAGTCTGTGTATGAGTACGTCTGGGTGTGAGTAAGTCTGTGTATGAGTAAGTCTGTGTATGAGTATGTCTGAGTGTGAGTAAGTCTCAGTATGAGTAGGTCTGAGTATGAGTAAGTCTGAGTATGAGTAAGTCTGAGTATGAGGAGGGGAGGAGGAAAGAGGAGGAGGAAGAGGGAGTAGGAGGCGTCCAAGTAATAACAAGAACCCCATCTTAGGATATGGGGAACAAAAATGGATTGACCCCTTTGGCCTGCTTGGGGTCCATGTCCGTCCGCCTCAAGACGACTCCAAATGGTTCCAAGATGGCCCAGGATGGCCCCAAGACGGTCCAAGACGGCCCCAAGACGGCCCAAAATGGCCCCCAGAGGGCCCACGACGGCCACCAAGACGGCCCAAGATGGCATCAAGTGGACCCACTAAGAGGGCGCCTGGAGGCCACAAGCAATGATGTTCCATAGGCTTCTGAACGATTTCAGCGTTCTCGCATGTTTCAAGTCTCGAGGGACCAGACCATGACGGCCCAAGCAGCCCCAAAGGTTGCCCCCAGGCGGCCCCAGGCGCCCCCAAGACGGCTCCCGAGGGCACCAAGATAGCCCAAAGAGGCCCCCAAGACCGCCGAATAAGCCCCCAAGACGGCCCAAGAGGACTCAAAGAGAGCCAAGGCGGCCCCGAGAGGTCCCCCAGACGGCCTCCGAAGGGGCCAGACGGCTCCAGACGGCGCAAGAACGCCCCAAGACGGCCCAAGACGCGCCTAACAGGCCCAAAAAGGTCCCAAAGAGACCCCAAAGAGGCCCCTAGAGGCTCCCAAGAAGCCCCCAAGAGGCCCCCAAACGGCCCCAAGAAACCACCAAGACGCCCGCGTAATTGCGAATGGCGCGCTGTTGCTATGATCATCGGAATTTGAACTTTGCGTTGCCTTGTGCTACCACGCGGTGAATGCTCTTTGCCATCGTTGGCATTCGCACGCTGGTCCCGACGCTGAAACCGGGGGGAGGGGCGCATCTGCCACCCCTGGCGCTGGCAACGCCGCAGGGCGGGCAGAACGGCACAGCAGACCAGCACGTCAGACGAGCAGGGCAAACCACTGAACGCCCAGTCTACATGCGCTCCAGGCGTGCACCCCGCGAAGCGAGAGGAATCCACGTCTGGAGGTGACGTGCTGAGCGGCAGCGTTTTCCGCGAGGGCTAACATGAATACATCTCGTGTGTCCAATCAGACAGATCATCACACATCATAGTATAGGAAACTATATTGTATTAATAAATTGTACCCCCCCATAGCCCCCCACCAGGAGTTGCGCCACACCCGTAGACCCAAAGATGGCGGACCCGTATGGGGCTCAAAACCGTACAACACCCTTTTTTTCAAAATGAGTTGGGCCTCTTGGACCGCTTGGGGTCCAAGACGGCCTGAAGACGGCTCGATATGGCCTCCAGACGGCCCCAAGACAACCCAAGATGGCCCCAAGACGGCCCAGGGGCTCCTAAGACGGCCCCAGAGGGCTCCACGGGGAGGCCCCAAGAGCAACTCCAGAGGTAAAAAACATAGACGTTCAGATGGATGTTGCAAGATTGTCACGATCTCTGCTGTTTCAACTCTCGGGAACCCATGACGACCCAAGCAGCCTCCAAGATGATCCCAAAACGGCCACAGAGGCCCCAAAGCCAAAGGGGGCCCCAAGACGGCCCCAGAGGGCCCCAAGATGTCCCAAAGAGACCCCCAAGACGGCTCAAGGGACTCCCAAAGCGGCCCAAGAGGACCCCATGAGAGCCACAAGGCGGCCCCGAGAGGCACCCAAGACGGCCTCCGAAGGGGCCAGACGGCGCAAGAGCGCCCCAAGACGGCCTACGAGGCCCCCAGAAGGCCCCACAGGGCCCAAAGAAGCCCTAAGAAGCTCCCGAACGGCCCTAGGAAACCACCAAGACGCTCGCGTAATTGTATAAGGCAAACCACCCAACGACCAGCCTTGCTGTACTCCAGACGTGCACCCCGCGAAGCGAGAGGAATCCACGTCTGGAGGTGACGTGCTGAGCGGCAGCGTTTTCCGCGAGGGCTGAAATGAAATACACACAGTGCCCAATCATTCAGAGCATCACAGATCACATGATATTGTCTCTTTCTGTTATACTGTATCCCCCACTACCCCCCACCGGAGTGACGCTACATCAGTCGACCAAGATGACGGCCCCCCACCTGGGCTCAAAAACTTACCAAGATCTAATAAGGAAAAACATGGTTGGGCCTCTCGGAAGTCCAAGAGGGCCTCGGGAGGGCTCGAGATGGCCTCAAGACAGCACATCATGCATGGCCCTAAGACGGCCCAAGATGGGCCCACGCAGACCCAAGAGGCCCCCATGACGGCCCAATATGATCCCAAGAGGACCCCGAAAAGGGCCTCTGGAGGCCAAAAACATTGATGTCAATTGTTGCTGATAGTTTTAAGCGGTCTCGCCTTTTTGGACTCTCGGTAGCCCATGACGGCCCAAGCAGCCTCCAACATGGCCCCAAGACAGCCCAAGAGGCCTCCAAGAAGGCCCCGAAACTACCAAACAATGCCCCAAGATGTCCCAAAGAGGCCCCCAAGACGGCTCAAGAGGCTGCCACAACGGCCCAGTGGGGACCCCAAGAGCCAAGAGAGCCCCAGGGCGGCCCCGCTAGGCCCCAAAGACGGCCTCTGAAGGGGCCAGACGGCACAAGAGCGCCCCAAGACGGCCCAAGAGCCCCCCAAGAGGCCCCAAGAGGCCCCGAAGAAAGAGGCCCCGAAGAGGCCTCCGAGACGCCCCAAGAGGCCCCCCCAGAGGCCTCCAAGTGCCCCCAAGACGCTCCCAAGAGGCCCGACAACGACTTGACTGTACGTGCTCTGGGCCTCAGCCTCAGCCTCAGCCTCAGCCTCAGCCTCTGCATCTTCTTCTTCATCATCATCATCATCATCATCATCATCATCATCAGCAGCAGCAGCAGCAGCATCACCATCAGCATCGTCAGCATCATCCTCATCATCATCATCATCAGCAGCAGCATAATCATCATATTCGTCGCCGCCGTCGTCGTCGTCATCATCATCATCACCATTAGCATCAGCAGCATCATCATCAGCATCATCATCATGATCATCAGAATCATCATCATCAGCATCATCATCGTCAGCATCATCATCATCAGCATCATCATCACCACCACCATCATCATCGTCAGCATCAGCAGCATCAGCATCACAGGCATCATCATCATCAACAGCAGCATGATAATCAGCATCATCATCAGCAGCTTCAGCAGCAACATCAGCATCAGTATCAGCATCATCAGCATGATCATCGGCATCATGAGCATCATCAGCATCGACGGTATCATCATCAGCAGCATCATCAGCAACAGAAGCATCAGCATCAGCACCAGCACCAGCATCATCATCAGCAGCAGCATCATGAGCATCAGCATCATCATCAGCATCGGCATCAGCATCATCATCGCCGTCATCGACATCGTCAGCCTCATCGTCATCGTCGTCGTCGCCTGCTTCATCATCATCAGCATCATCATCATAATCATAATCAGCATCACAGTCGGCATCGTCATCGTCGTCGCGTCCTCATCCTCCTCCTGATCATGATCACCACCACCACCATCACCATCATCACCACACACAATCAGCATCATCAGCATCATCATCATAATCGTCGTCACCATCACCATCACCATCACCATCATCATCATCACCATCACCATCACCATCATCATCATCATCATCATCATCATCATCATCATCATCATCATCATCATCATTAGCGGCAGCAGCATCAGCATCAGCATCATCATCATCATGATCATCAGCATCATCAGCATCAGCATCAGCATCATCATCGTCAGCATCATCAACATCAGCATCATCATCCTCAGCATCATCAGACCCCACGACGCTGATGGCAGATACCTGGCGTCTGATGGGGCGTCGTGCGCAGGAGCGGCGCGCTGACGGGCGGAGGCGCTGCGAGTCCTCCTTCAGGACCCTCCAGGCATCGGCGCTGACCTGTCGGCCGCGGTACCGCTTTCTGCTGTTCCTCCGCCTCCTCCGACTCCTCCTCCTCCTCCTCCTCCTCCTCCTCCTCGTCATCATCACCAGCATCATCATCATCATCAGCATCATCATCATCACCATCATCAGCATCATCATCACCATCATCACCATCATCATCAGCAGCAGCATCAGCATCAGCATCAGCATGCCTCGACCCGATCAGACCTCAAGAGCAGCGGGAGCTGGAAGACGACCTGATAGCATGAGACAGCAAGGCATGACTACCGTTATTGCACCTGGGATGGTGAGCGTCTGGACGAGGCCCAGTCTCTCCACATGGGATGGTCGCCGCTCCGTCTTACGCACTCCAATGGAAAGAAGACTGGGGACGGGTCCCGTCGTCCCATCCCTCTCCGAGCGGCGAGGCGAACCTGAGGCGTCCCCGTTTCACGTTTGCTTGGCGTCCTGCCCCGTCCCGCCGGAGCTCGATGTCGTCACACCGGGACCCTGGAGCACTGCTTCTGCTGGCTACTGGCTGCTGGCCTCTGCTTGCTGCTTGCCGATACGGTAGGCTGTCGAGCTGGTGCTTCCCCACTGCTCTGCTGAATCACTGCGGTGGTGCTGATGGTGCCGCTGAGATTGGCTCTGCCGGTGCTGCTTGGGGTGGCGGGCGAGCCTCTCCAGCCCGCAGGTCCTTGAAGGCCTTCTGGAACTGGCCCAGCGGCGTCGTCGAACCCAGCCTGAGGCGGCTCCTCTCTCTCTCCCTCCCTCCCTCCTCCCGCCCCTCGATTCCTCCCTCTCTCTTCCCTCATCCCTGCCCCTCCCCATCCTCCTGCATCTATCCCCCGCGCCCAATTCTCCGCACTGCATCACCCGTCCTCCTTCAGCACTCGTCCCTCCTCCCTCATCCCTAATTTTGCCTGCCCCTCCTCCCTTCTCCCTACTGCGACCTCCCCTCAAGCGTCACCTCTTCCTCCACCCTTCACCCGCCGTCCTCCCGTATCCTTGCCCCCATTTCCCCCTATTCCCACTCCCCCCACCCCGCCGCCCACTCCCCCATCCAACATCCCAATTCTCGTTTGCCAGTCCCCATGACATTGAAAGTCGCGGAGAACAACAACAACAACAACAACAATCATTTTACCCGAACGCTCAGTGTTCTCACCAGTGCCAGGGTTTTCATACGACGCCCGCCAATACCCCCACTTTGTGGGGGGGCCGGTTCAAGCTCTACCACATTTCCAAACGACTCTTCGCCACCACCCACACCCAGCTTCCCGCCCTATGACGTTCGGACACTTCACTTCGTGGCATGCGGACGACCGTGGCTACTACACTGGCGCATGGTTTCAATGACTTCTTGTGGTAACATCTTGTGGAAACTAGCTTAGTATACGACGACGACGATTTGAAGGGCCTACGGTGCGAAAAATGATTTTATGTTGCGCGGTGCTAAAATTCCTACGAAACCCAATGGTTTTTGAAGATTTCGGCGTGCGCACGGAAAGAAAAAACGAATGTGTCCCGCATGGTATTATTTGACAGGGATGATGGCCCTGGCAGGTGCGCAACCGTTGTTGGAGAAGTTCGAAGCACGTGAAGAAGTTGATCGCAAAAGCCCGTTTGACAGAAATGTTTAAAAAAGTTGGGTTTCCTGCAAATCCGCAAGAGCGCGCGGGATGAAATTGTGACACTTTTTTTTTTTTTTTTTTTTTAAAAAAAAAAAAAAAAAAAAAAAAAAAAAAAAAAAAAAAAAAAAAAAAAAAAAAAAAAAAAAAAAAAATGGTTTTTTGATGTTTTTATGTTGAAATCGCTACGAACACTAAGGTTTTGGAAGGATTTCGTCTTGCGCGCGCGAATGTCCACTTTACCTTATTTTTTGCAAGGGATTCTTGAAGTTTGGTTATTTTAGAACAAGAAATTTCATTTTATAGTGTTTTTTGCAAGGGACAGCGGGGGGGAACAAAACAACCGGATCTTGATGACATCGTATTACCTGAGGCTTCCTCACGAAAATGATGAAAATGTAGCTGCGGCCTAGGCGGCGCAGGGGGGTCGCGCACCAGGGGTCCCAACAATAATTATTCTTTAGAATAAATAATGTTCAACAACAACAACAATTACTAGCACGTGGGGACACTCCGTTCTCACCAGTGCCAGGGTTTTCATAGGAGGCGGGCAATACCCCCACTTTGTGGGGGGGCCGGTTCAAGCTCTACCAAATTTCCAAACGACTCTTCGCCACCACCCACACCCAGCTTCCCGCCCTATGACGTTCGGACACTTCACTTCGTGGCATGCGGACGACCGTGGCTACTATTCAGGGCCCCGCGGCCGACGACGACGGCGTGCGCGCGCGAAGAAAAAACGAATGTGTCCCGCATGGTATTATTTGACAGGGATGATGGCCCTGGCAGGTGCGCAACCGTTGTCGCAGAAGTTCGAAAAAGTTGCTCGCAAAAGCCCGTTTGACAGAAATGTTTAAAAAGTGTTGGGTTTCCTACGAATCCGCAAGAGCGCGCGGGATGAGATTTTGACATTTTTTTGTTGAAAAACCATTGGTTTTTTGATGTTTTTATGTTAAAATCGCTCCGAACACTAAGCTTTTGGAAGGATTTCGTCTTGCGCGCGCGAATGTCCACTTTACCTTATTTTTTGCAAGGGATTCTTGAAATTTGATTATATTAGAACAAGAAATGTCATTTTATAGTGTTTTTTGCAAGGGAAAACGGATTACAACAAAACAACCGGATCTTGATGACATCGTATTACCTGAGGCTTCCTCACGAAAATGATGAAAATGTAGCTGCGGCCTAGGCGGCGCAGGGGGGCCGTGCACCAGGGGCCCCAACAATAATTATTCTTTAGAATTAATAATGTTCAACAACAGCAAACATAATGAATTCGTCAGAATTGAAAATTCAACAGCAGCAACAACAACAAGAACAACAACAACACCAACAACAACAACAACAACAGCAACAACAACAACAACAACAACATCAACAACAACAACAACAACAACAACGACAACAACAACGACAGCGACAACGACAAAGACAACGACAACGACAACGACAAAAACAAAAACAACAACAACAACAACAACAACAACAGCAATAATAATAATGAATTTTTCAGAATTGAAACTTCAACAGCAGCAACAACAACAACAAGGACAACAACAACACCAACATCAACCACAACAACAACAACGACAGCGACAAAGACAACGACAACGACAACGACAACAACAACAACAACAACACCAACAACATCGACAAAAACAACAACAACAACAATGAGTTTAAGACTGGTCGTTCTTACTGGCACGCGTATCTTGCATTCTGTATACCCCAACCCTCGGTACCCGCCCACTTTGTCTTCGATTGCACCCCCTTTCGCGGGGAATCTCTTCCGTATCGGCCACTGAATGCCGTTCCCGAGTGCTGGGCCTCCACCAACTTGCCTGAAGTACGGCGAAATCTCGAGCGAGAGCGCCGTTCCTGAGTTCGGGGGCCTCTCTGGCCAGGGTGTCTCGGGGTAAACTGTGAGGAAGTATCGAGCGGGAGCCGTTGTTGTCGTAGCTGGGCCTCCAAGGGCCCACATGTAGGCTGAAGCCAACGCTCGAGCGGAAGCCTCGCTTTCAGAGAATATGTAGCCGGCGTCGAGGCGAGAGCGCGCGGAACAGTTTCCGGATATCAACATAAATTCTAATTTAGACATGTGTATTCAACAATCATTTTAAGACTGTTCGCTCCTATCTGCTCACGTGCCAACCAATACGTATATCCAAAATGCTCGGTACCCGCCCTCGTCGTTTTCGATCGTACCTCCTTGGGAGTGCATCTTCCTTACCTGCCACGTGTCTTTAATGCAGCCCTTAAAACAAGGGAAGAGAGGACGGGTGGAAGGAGGGAGAACAATGGATTACGAGAGAAATTAGCAGGAGGGGGGCAAGGAGCAAAAAACAAATGGTAGAACCAGACAGGCAGATCGGGTGGGCAGACCCATAGCGGGCAGGTCGGGAAGGCGGGCCCAGGCGACGAGGTCGAGCAGGCGGGTTGCTGACGCGTGGGTGTTGCATGAATCGCGAGGTAGTCTCGAGCGATAGCGCGATTCCAAAGTAAATCGTGAAAAAGACAGCGTGGGCCACGAAGGGCACAAAATCCGAGGCCACAGAGGGCAGCGACGGGGCCACTGAGGGCAGCAAAGGGGCCACGAAGGGCAGCGAGGGGGCCACAAAGGGCGACAGCGGGGGCACGAAGGGCATGCATATGGGGCCACGACGGGCGCGAGAAAGCGGGGGCCACGAAGGGCATTCGTATACGGGGCCACAAAGGGCGACAGCGGGGCCACTGAGGGCAGCAAAGGGGCCACGAAGGGCAGCGAGGGGGCCACGAAGGGCGACAGCGGGGCTACGAAGGGCATGCGTATGGGGCCACGACGGCCGCGTGCGAGCGGGGCTACGAAGGGCATACAGTGCGGGGCCACAGAGGGCAGCGACGGGGCCACTGAGGGCAGCAACGGGGCCACGAAGGGCAGCGAGCGAAGGCGACCGCGGAACCAGAACGGGCAGCGAGGGGCATGGAAGGCGGGCGAAGGGCAGCGAGCGGCGACTGCAATCATTAACGGGCTGGTCGGGCGGGCAGGCCCCGACGGGCGGGTCGAACGGGCGGTTCGTTGAAGCGTGAGTCCTGCTTGAACCGCCAGGCAATATGTAGTGGGAGCGCGATTCCTGAGTCAACAACAACAACAACAACAACAACAACAACAACAACAACAACAACAACAACAACAACAACAACAACAACAACAATCATTTTAACACTGTTGTTTTCGATCGAAACCCTTTTGGGGGTTACACCATCTTCCCTGCAGGCCGGGACCCGGCAAACGGCGGGGCGGCCGCGGACCGTCGGCCTGGCCAGCGGCAGCGCTGATCGGCGAGGCGGCCGCGGACCGTCGACCCGACCCCAAGAGGGACGGACAGGGGACCGACCACGACGACGACGACGACGACGACGACGACGACGACTTCGACGACGACTGCGACGACGACGACGACGACGGCGACGACGACGAGCGAAAGCGAGAGAGAAAGAGAACGACAGCAGGGCCACAAGGACACGAAGTAGGCCACGAAGGGCAACAGCGGGGACACGAAGGGCATGCATATGGGGCCACGACGGGCGCGAGCGAGCGGGGGCCACGAAGGGCAGATAATGCAGGGCCACAGAAGGCAACGATGTGACCACTGAGGGTAGCAACTGGGCCACGTAGGACAGATGCATATGGGGCCACCACGGGCGCGAACGAGCGGGAGCCACGAAGGGCATGCATATTTGGGGTCACGAAGGGCAGCGAGGGGGCCACGAAGGGATGCAATGGGGACACGAAGGGCAGCGAGGGGGCCACGAAGGGCTGCAACGGGGCCACGAAGGACTGCGACGGGGCCACGAAACAAAGCGAGGGGGCCACGAAGGACTGCAACGGGGCCACGAAGGGCAGCGAGGAGGCCACGAGGGGCTGCAATGGGGCCACGAAGGGCAGCGAGGGGGCCACGAAGGGCTGCAACGGGGCCACGAAACAAAGCGAGGGGGCCACGAAGGGCTGCAACGGGGCCACGAAGGGCAGCGAGATCCCGACTCCTATGTAATATGTGAGGGAGTCCTAAGCGTGAGCGCGACTCCTGGGTGCCTGGGTGTCGGGAGCGCGGCGCATGAGTAAATTGCAAGAA